ATTGATTTTGTGGGTGTGTGTGGGGGGGGGGGGGGGAGTTTTTGAGGGCAGGAGGCGGCGGGTGGATTGGGGATAGGCGGATTGGGGTGGTGTGGGTGGGGGTGTCCATTTGCGTCGCGTGGCTTGGCGGTTGGTGTCTTGTCGTGTTGCCGCTGGGGGTCCATCCCTCTCCACTGTTCACCAAGGGCGGCGACAAGAAAGATGGCGGTCGACGGATGCACACCACTGCGCACAGATTTGAGAGGATGCGGGCGTCCTCATCAAATCCACGACGGGACTCCAGACGCCCGCTTTAGACTCCACACGCCAGCCTTCTCGCCATCTCGCACTCGCATTCGCTTGCTCCTGCCTCCTCCCCGCCCATCGTTTTTTTTGCAAGACGAAAGTAGTCCAATGCTGCACTACACCACCCTCGACGATCCTCGCCTTCCAGAGGGGTCGCCGCCCTGCGCGCGCAGTCGACCGTTCTAATCTCGCTGCGAAACGTGCAAGTGGTCGTCGTCGAGTGGACGACACGACATCACCATTGCTGCCATCGTCGCCATCTTCCCTTTCCATCTCCAGCACCTCCATCATCATCTTTGCCGCCATCATCGGCATCGTCAACGAGATCGCGGTCGTCATCTTCGTCGCCATCATCGCCATCGTCAGCGCGATTGTGGCCGTCATCCGCGTCGCGTGCTTCTCTTCTGCATCGCCATCGTCGCCATCGCCGTTGTCGTTGCCTTTTTCACCAGTGTTGCCATTGTCGCCCTCGTGTTGGTCGTGGACTGCGCCATCATCGTTCTTAACATCGCCCTTATCGCCATCATCACCGTCGTCGTTATCGTCGTCGTTGTCGACGTGGACTGCGAACTTTGCTTTTCGGATTTGCAACTGGTCAGTCGGCGAGCTTTTGTGTTGTGCGCCATGTCGCCCCGTGGTGCTGGACGCGGCAAGAACGCCACTAACCAGGCAATGGTAGCGGCGGTGTGGGAGAAAAAGGGACGACACAACGCCAACAAGAAGAGGAAGGTCATCCAAGGCGGGCCTTCGGGTGCAGGAAGTGCCGTACACAACGAATGGGTGGGGGAGGAGGTTGCGCCGTAGGAGGAGAGCGACTTCGAGGACGAGGAGGAAGCGTCGTTGAAGAGGAGGATGCTGAGGCGGACGGGGGGAGGCATCCGAATTGAAGAGGAGGAAATTGAAGCTCTTGTAGAAAGACGTTGTGGAGGAGGCCGCGCGGAAGCCGACAACGTCATGGACGTGGAAGCCGCAGCGGCATCGGGGGAGGGCTTGGGAGTTGGTGTCGTACAGCCGCATCGCGCGCCCATTCTACGTCTCAACGATGCCCCGGACGTGCACGAGCCTGCGGTCCATGCATGAACACCAGCAACCCCATGACAGCGGACGACTGCAGACGTTGTAGGGAGTTCACAAGCGGTCGCTCAAGGGAACAGGAACCGTTCTCCTGCACAGGAGGCGCAGGGGGCCGCTGTGGGGGGGGCTTCACATGCCGGGGATGTCGCGAGGGCAGGGGATGTCGGCGGAGAGGCTCCCCGCTCACTCCCTCTGGATACTTTCATTCTTTGTCACACCTTGGCCGGTTTGGCTGTGCAGCAGGGAGATGGATGTCTCCCTGAGATGCACCCGATGCTCGTGGCCGTTAGAGTCCACCAAACATCTGTGGTGTGATTGCCCACAACTTCCAAGAGGGTGTGGAAATGGTGGGAGGATCACTGAAACAGATTGGGGGGAGAAGTTATTGAGTTTGATGAACGTATGGTCCTACTAGGTCTAGTTAGGGAGGAACACTCCTGAGAGAAGGGGTGGCCATACATAGCCCAAGTGGCAAGAGAAGTGCGCTGGTGAACAGGGTGCGGCGGCGGGGTACGTGAGATTGAATGAAGGCGGCGTCGAAGCTGTGGGTAGATGACTTGCGTTTCTGGAATGAAACTGAAGGAAACGTCATGCTCAAGTTGATACAGGAAGCGTGCCTGTATCTTGTGGCGGTGGCACGGGGAGTGCAGCCTCCGGGCGTTCGTCGAATCATTGTCTTGCCTCATATCACCATCCCGCAGCAGAAAATGGAGGACGAAACGGAGTTGAACGTTGAGAAGGAGAGGGCATTCAAGGTGCAGTCCATCTCTTTGCGGGGACGCGGCCACTAACATCGCTCGCGCCATGTGGATGGGGGAAGACTGAGGTATATGTGTGAGCCCCATGGTGTTCCACATTACGCTGGACATGGATATGAAGTTGCCACTGTGGTTCGTCGGCGCCGACATCGAAGATAGGCACGAGAACGACCACTTGGCAGCGTATCAGGAGGCGAGCATCCAACAACGGGTGGGGGGTTTCACGAGCGCCGTGAGCATGGAGGAGGGGATCGACAGCAGGTGGGTGTCGTACGAAAGGTTGAAGAGTGTTGCCGACACGATGACAATGCTCGCGGCGACCATGTGGCTCATGCGGATGAGCGGGGGCGATCATCGCGCGCATTACGACACGTGGGTTTTCATCCAACTCACAACGAAGCCAATGCTCGTGGCATCCATGCATCGCTCATTCGATGCGCGTTGCCATATCTTGCAAGCTGCTACCGACATCACGGACAAGTTGGCGAGCCCCCCCAATGCCCCCATGACTTTGGTAGACCCTCCGTTGTACATCCCTGACTAGGAGTCTTGCAGCGTTAAGTTCTCACATGACGTGAGCTTGCCCTCCCCATGGACGCCAAGAAGCTCGATTGGCTGGGTATAGGCCCCCCGGATGAGGAAGAAGAAGAGAAAGGCGATGACGAAGCCGACAACTTGAAGGGGGGTTGATGAAGCGTTCGTGGCGCCCGTCTTCGACGTGGCCGTCGAAAAATGTCTGGCGTCTTCTAAGACGGCCTCGTAGTGGACACGGCCATCGCAGGGTGGGATAGGGTGGTCGTCGTTTGTCCCAGAGAGACGGCTAAATGGGATGGGGGGGGGGGACCCCCTGCATGTGCATGTTCGTGTCACTGTAGTGTTCAGAGGTAGCACTCCGATTTTGTAGTCGGCGTCATCTACTCGCCAACACGTGGGATGGTCGTGGAAGTGGCGGGAAGGGAGGTTCTCGCGACGAGGTCATTGCTGGTGAGGAGGGGAGAGATGGAAGAGGGGGGAGATGGTAGACAGGGGAGTCGGGTTCGTGGTGTGCTTGGTTCTCGTGGGGGTGGCGGGAGGTGTTGGGGGGGGCGGGGGGGGAGGGTGGTTGTGTGGGGGGGCTGATCGATCATGGGAGGGGAGGTTCTCGTGTTGCGGGTCGTTGTTGTGGCGGATCGATTGTCATAGGGTTGTTTCATGAAGTTTTCCTTGTTTTTGGTTGTTTTTTGTTTCGGAAATGGATAAACCATTGTGTCATCTGTTGAAGCGAACATCGAATTATTCAACGTTATTCATGAATTCTACAGCTTTGCATTGCTTGCTTTTTTTCTGGTTTCATTCAAATTTCTATATGTTATGGTCAGGGGCATGGAAAGATTCGAGTCCGACACCCAGACACGTCACCCACGGTGACAACACACTACATGACAACTACGATCGCCACGTGCACGCACGTGACGTCGCCCCCGCCGACGACGCATTTGACTGCGCCATTGCCATCTACCCGCGCCGCCGACACTCTCCTCATGGCCGCGCATTTCGAAAGAACACCAATTTGAAAGTAAACTGCCCACACACACCGCCTCATGCACGCTAACGCTCAGCGAAACAACCACCTGACCATGAACTCCCCAGTTCCACAAAACGGGGCGACACACACAACGATGCCAACGCAGATGACCACCCCTTCAAGGACACGACGCCTCTCGCCGCGGACAGAACCACAGCCCAACGCCACCACATCGGAGGCCAGCAATATTGTGACGACACGCGACCGCCAGTAGAAGGGGGAACTAACCACCCCTTCATGCACGACACACAAACTCTTCGCCTGCTTCACCCTTTGTCTGCTCCGATTTTTCGCCGCAGCCACGTCACCGCAGCCGCCCGCCCCGCACGCTTGGCCATCTGTACTGCGCACCCATTCGCTCCGTCAATGCGTTCCGCAGGATCACCGAATCCCTCGTCGACGACTCCATACACATCAGCCTCCGAGGCCGCTGCATCCCAAGATCTAACCTGCGATGCACACTGTCCAGCCCGACCTCCCACAGTAGATTGTCATGGAAGGGGATGCCCGCGTCGATGAGTATGTTGTGCAGAATGCACACGGCGACGAACTGCTGCGGCAACTTGTCCATGTTCGTCTTGAGGGAGCGAAGGAACAACCTCCACATCCCCTTCAGTCTCCCGAAAGCTCTCTCAACTGCTCCCCTTGCCGTCTTCTACTTGTTGTCGAAGCGCAACTCCAACGGGTGTTGTGCGAAACCGCCATAGGGGACGACTACCCATTGGGGGGGGGGATAACCGTTGTCACCCAGCAAATACCCATTCGGCTGCACACCGAAAGGCAGCATGACAGGTGGCACAGTGAAAAACTCCCCTGCCTCCGTGCACGCCCATAAACTCGATAGGTGGACGATCCTCACGTCGTGGCAACTTCCCGCATAACCGACGAACACGTCTAGCACACGCAAGTTCAGATCGATGACCACCTCCGCCTGGACGGAGAAACGATGTTTTCTGTCGTAGTAGTCCTCCTCGGGGGAATTCGCTGGCTTGTCGATATAGATGTGGGTGCAGTCGATGCACCCATGGCAGTTAGGGAAACCCTTGTCAGCGAAAGCGCGCAAGACGACCGCCTTCTGCAGCCCCGTCGGCCATGATATCTTGTCAGGGTACGAAATCAGCAAAGCCGCAGTTACATCCAGCACAGCCACCAACCCAAAAGATCTGCCAATGCCGAAACTGCATGTCCCGCTCTCGTACGTCTCCCCCCACGCCCACCTGTACAAAGCGTACGCGACAATGTGGTCAGGCTGGAGGGGCTCCCTATAGAAAGTCACACGTCGTTGAAGGAAGGGAGACAGCTTCCGTGATCTCTCAGAACACACGTGGCGACATGCGCAGCTTGTCCTTGAAGTAGTCGGCCGTCACATCGCTGCAATGCCGCAGATCCTCCCACGTCCCCCCTGTCCGTCGCTTCATCCACTACCTGGGCGTCGCTCTGGGAAAAGCTCCACACCCCATGGCGTAGCACACCTGCAGCACGGCGTCGCAAATTGCAGCAGTGTCAAAGTCGTCCACATTCATGGACTGCAGCGTCCTCTTCCACGGTGCGCGAACTGCCGCTCTCATCCTCCCCTCGCTCCTCTCTATTTGACACCGGAACAGGATGGCGTTCACGACCGCTGCCACCGCCGTCCTCTCCGCTGTGCTCAGTGTGTCACGGGCCCGCCTCCCTACTCATGTCCATCGTCGAAACTGGTACTTTCGACATGGACGTCGCCAAGAACACAAGACTTCACGAGCGCCGGGGGGCACTACAGCGATGGTGCGAGTGACGATGGAGTGCACGGCGTAGACGTCCACGACGAAGGTGTGCCTGCGAAGACGACAACGGTGGCGATTGTGTGACGGCGTGTCTGCTGTTTCGGATGTGCACATGTATGTTCGGCCTGCCCACCGACACGTAGCTGCCACCCCGTACCCACACGCTTCCGGCGAGGAATGTTGCTGCCGACGTTTCCTCGGGGACGCCCACGCCGACGTCACTCGCTTGCCGAAATTCGAATTTCCGAAATTCGAATCCGGGACTGCGCGCCTTTTCCAATGCCGTGTTTTTTTTTTAACGCCACCGATTTTCGAATTTGAGACGCCCACCCGAGCTGGACCAATGACGTGGGCACGGACACAACTCGCTGGACCAACCTCGCCCCCCCCCCCCCCCCCCCCCCCCCCCCCCCTTGTCGACATATGAAACTGGCCGCGAAAGCCCCTGAGGAATCGTCCTCGGGGAACCATTCTGAGGATGAGTGGAACGGCGGTGCAAATTTCCTCGGGCGACGATGGGAAAATTTCCTCGGGGCCCCGAGGACGCCCCAAGGAGTGTCTAACGAGCCCCTAAATAACAAACCAGTAATTCCAATTTAAATTTCCCCTGAGTTTGCAATGCCTTGCATGTTTCCTGCCTTTCTTCGGTAAGTGGGGTTCCTCCACTTCTAGAGGGGGGACGGGGGAAAGAAAAAAGACCCCTCCCATCTAAGACAAGGGAAGACCCCAATAAATAAACAAGCCATAGGTTGTTTTTTGTCTTCTTTGGTTGCAGAGGAGAATAATAACGATCGTAGAATTGCTAGCAGCTTATAGCGTGACACAAAACTTCGCTGATATTCTGACACTCCTACTGGTTACGAGGAGTCGGTGCTAGTATCATGTACCTCATCCCCCCCGACCTTTGCCCCCCTGGC